GTCTGAATATCCTGAAGTAGACAAAAGGACGGATACATTAGAACAACACAATCCAATTGTTCAGTAACCTGTGGTATGGACAACAAGTGATGGGATAAAGAAGGAACAAACAAGCAATGATGTAAGGGAAGTGACGGGGTGAGATGCACAGTGCCGGCACCACACACGGGTGCCAAAGTACCATTGGCAGTTGATATATTTTTTCTGTGAGATGTAGTCATGTATTGAAACATATTTTTATCATATGTCATATGATCCGTTGCCCCAGAGTCCAGAATCCAACCTGTATGGTGCTGAATTTCGGAGGCTAAGAGAACACGTCCCATGGTACCTGTGTCGAAAGACGAGTCACCTCGAGTACAAGTCAACAAATTTTGACTAGAGTCACTGGGGCTAGGCACGGCTTCCTGGACTGTTGGTGTAGTCACAGCAAGGGAGGCATGGCCTCCATTGGACTGGCTGCTCCACGCTCCTTGGCACACAATTTTTTCTTTAACTCTGGAAACCAATCAGGCACCCCATGCTTAGGAAAACATGTATCTTCAGTATGATGGGTTTGTCCACAGAAAGTACATTTCAAATCATCTTTATTTTCTCGGTTGAAGGGACGAGAATTTAAAGATTGAGTAGAAGAATTACTAGGACGAGAAACACCAACTGGCCGAGAGATCATGGCCATGGACGGCAACCCTCCGTGATTGTTATTTCCACCCATCATAGTAGCATGTCGTTGAGCTTCACGCCGAACAACAAAAAACACCTCCTCAACAGATAGTAGGGGCTGAGTACGTAAAATATCACGACGCACTTTATCAAACACATCATCCAAACCCACCAAAAAGGCATACACACGATCAATCTGAATTTCTTCTCGAAGTGTCTTGAGATCCACAGCACATTTCATCTTGATTGGTCTCCGTTGATCTAACTCCTGCCAAACGGACTTGAGATCAGCATAATACACGCCAACTGGCCGACCCTCTTGACGAAGTCTAAACGATTTAACCTTCAATTCATAAATCTGAGAAATGTCTGAGCCATCATAATAGGTCCGAGCCACTTCTTCCCAAATTTCTTTAGCGGTACGCAGGTGAATAAAAAATCCCATGATAGCAGGTTCCATGGAATTGATCAACCACCCTTTTACTATTGCATTCCCTGTCTCCCACGTCTCATATTCAACACTATTCTCAGCAGGCTCCTTGGTACTCCCAGTCACAAAGCCCTTCCTACCGCGTCCAGCGATGTGCATCTCCAAAACTTTGGACCAAAAAGGATAATTTGATCCATTTAATTTCACGGTATTTAGTACAGCAGACACATCACTCTGAATAACGACCGGATTCAATACTGGATTATTGGTTGAGTTACTGCCCTCTAACTTCAACATGCCACTGCCTCCTCCTGACGCCATTCGGTTTTTCCCAAAAAATCAACACCGATGCACGCACACGGCAAAACTGTGCAGAAACGCCAATTAAACACAGTCCAGCCACACACTGCTGCACACCAAGCAAGATCACCCACTCACGGCTACCCTGTTTTCTGCAGAAAATTTGCAGAAAACGCAGTCAACCAAGCACAGCGGAAAGAACTAGGGTTTCGGCAACTCTAGCTCTTGATACCAAATAGAACTTTACATGAATATCTCTCTTGTATTGCTTCTTTAGAAATATATACATGTACAATCAGTGTTCAACTAGGAAACAAAATAAAGCTTATAAACAAACCTACTTAATAAAGGACTCCTAGTATTTACATTCCTTTTTTCCTAATATTGACTCATGACTAACAAAAACTAGTTTTGTCTCACATTGTCATCTGAAATTGTCATTTTCATCTCATTTAGTCTTAGATCGCCCCATTTTTTCTCGATTCTATCAAATATTTGTTTTATTAAAACGTAGTTCGGACATTTTATTTTTCACACAAGCAGAATAAGCCTCATACTTGGTGATGTGTCACTTACATGGGAATTTTGGTAAATGACCACATATTTGTCAGACCGCATGTGAATTGTGGTAAGAAAAGTTGAGAAGAAAAATTAAGGTTAAGTGAAAGAGGAGAAAGGTATTTAAGCTTGCGAAACCAATCCTTGAGTTCAATTGACGACTAATCTTCTTAGTGACAATGGCAGTTCATCGTAAAGCTAGAGAAGAGCAACCATTTTATTGTAAGTTTTCAGGAGCAAAGTAAGACAAAAGTAGTTCAGTAGGTAAAATGAGACTAAATAATAGTTTTAAGGGGTAATAAATTAATAAGCCGTATATATTGTAAAACTTTATATAAATTAAAACACACACAAATATATAATATATATTCGATAAATTAGGTTCTCCTTGTTGAGAATGCATGGGATTCCTCTACACCAAAATAATGGTTCAAAGTCCCCTAAGCTTAGCTTAGTTTGAAACTTTCTCTCTCTTCGGTGAGAGTCTTTCTCTCAAACTGAGAGTGTTTCTCATCCTTGTGTGAGTGACCGAAACTTTCTTCTCCATTCAACCGCCGGCCCTAGCAAGGCCTGGGTCGGTGGCAGTCCTTCATTTTTATTTTTATTTTTTCTCTTCTTTTTCTTCATTTTTCCTTGTTGCTGCTTGTTTTCGACCTTTCCTTCTTCCTCCTCTTGCCTCGGATCTAGCGGAACTTTCGCCTTTGTTGGAAATTCCTTCATCACGACCATATTCTTTCTCTTATCCTGCAGCTATCTAACATCCATGTCACCTTTCAACCATTTCTCTATCTACCCCCAATGGTTTTGGCCTCCTCTCGATCCTACTACTTCTCAGATCTGCAACCAATTTCTCTAACCGCATCTCGCGGCTATCCTGGAAGGTGTGTAGAGCTCTTGCTCGGGTGGTCACACCACCACCTTCCATTTGTTTGCCTTCGTTGGCACGATTCCTTGTGGGAGGTTTTTCCCACAAGTTTCATTCTCTGGATGGCTGCAGATTTGAGTGTTGTGGCATGATGGAGGCGGGTGGAACCTTCTTGATTTTTGATTTGGAGGCTTCTTTTGGGTGGATTCTGGTGCCTGCAAGAGGCGGTGGTTCGTGGTCGGTAGTGTTGGCGGCAACTAAGTACTTAGGCCATCTCTAACCGAAGGCTGGTCGGATGACTCGTTTTAACCCTTTGGCCCTCTAAGAAATTAATATTTTAATGAACAATGCAGGGCCATATTTCTCACCATCTCCAACCGAGGGCCAAAGGGTCATAGGGCCAAACATAATTTATTATTTGAATTTAAAAACTACAACAACTTATATTTAAAAACTACAATTTAAATTTAAAAACTACAAATTAAATTTAAAAACTACATTAACTTAAATTTAAAAACTACAACAACTTAAATTTAATATCCATAGTCAACATCATCTTCATCATCCGCCATTGTAGGAGTATAGTCAGAGGTAAACAACTACCGCCGGGTCATAATATCTTTTTTTTACTATCAAAATAGGCCTTACTCATTGGAGTGTAATTAGAAGTGCTCATTTCCATATTTTTATCATCCATCTCTTCTTGTATTTGTTTGGCCCGTTCTTCACGCCTACGGTTCCTTTCTTCCACGGCAATGGCATTTTGCTTTGCCATTAATCGCAATGAGGCCGCCACTTCCTGTTGAGCGGCGTAATCATCATTTGCCTTGCCCTTTTCCTTCAACCTTCAGGCCTTGTTTCGTCCCATAACCCTAGGTATGGAACCTTCACGTGAAGACGGATTTTCTACCCTTGTTTGTTGAATGGTAGGAGATCCATCTTCATCCACATCTGCAACTGAGGATGTAGTTCCAAACACCGGCATATGACCTACTCTATGTTGAGGTGGATCTTCAAATAACACCCACCCTTTACAAATTTCCCAACAACCGTGAAACTGAAAAGGTTTCAAGCTGTCATCCATATACAATTCCTCTGCTTGGCGTACCTAGAAAATATAATTACAAAAATTAAAGGAAATTAAATGTAATATAATTAAATATAATTACAAAAAATTAAAGGAAATTAATTTATGAAATTAAATATAATATAATTAAATATTTAAAATAAATTGTGAAGACACTTACTTCTTCGTAGTAATTAGCGCCGTTTGCATGTCTATTTGCGGCTGCTAACAGTGCTTGATGCCATTTGTTCAAACTTGGCTAAAGATGTTTCTTCCATCTTGAAGAACAACTCTCATGGTTTCAGGTATTCGGTGGAGTGGTGCCTTCGTAGAACTCTAAGTATTTTTTGGACACACGAGTCCAAACACCTTCACTTGTTTGAGAACTCCCCCTCACATATTCTTCCAACACCCATCTCTAAGCCCTGCAAAGAGCTTCATCTTCTTTTCGGTTCCAAACCCTACCGTTCATTGTAGACGAGGCCATTTGAAAATTATTGAAAAAAATGAAGGAAATATTTTTAGAAGAGGTAAGAAAATATGAGAATTGAAATGGTGTAGGAATGGTTTAGGTATTTATAGGAAAAAGTGAGAATTTTTTAGAATTTTTAAAAATAATTTTGGCCCAAAAAAAAAATTTCAAAAACCAAAGGTAACTGGCTGGCTGCTTGGGCCAGCCGGTTGGCCCTTTGACCCTTTTTTGTCCAGTGGAGCTCACGAGCCCTTTGGCCTGGCCCTTAGTTGAAGATCGTTTTTGGGCTATTTTCAGTCCTCTGGTCCTTTGGATCCTTCGGTTAGAGATGGCCTTAGGGTTTTTGGCTTTTGTTTTGTTTTGCTTTGGCTCATCTGTTTGGTTGGGCCTGTTGTGGGATTCAAATTTGAGTATTGAGCTTTATTTGTAATTGGATCCCAGTTTGTAAATGTTTTTTTTGTTGTGGTAATGAATGGTTACCTTTGGACCGCAAAAAAGAAAAGTGGACATAACATGCAAAGAATTTGTAGCTAGAGTTAAGATTATTTATTTACGCAAGCACATTATACAAGTGTCTGATCCCCTTCTTTTTCCCCTACCGCTTGTATTAGGAAAATGAAAATAAAGTAATAGTATATCGTGCATATATGAGCAAAATCTGAAAATGATGGCTTGATTATTCTAATATTACAGCATAAAACATTAACGAATAATCAAAGAGAAATTTCCATTGCTTTTGTTTTTTATTTGACCTAGTCATGAATATGTAGTACTTTACTCTAACTGGAGAAAAATTCCCTCGAATATTCATGCAAAGCTATATCTTCCTGATCCATGACAAAACCATCCACAACCTCCACACTTTGCATAGGATTATAATTAACACTACTCGACGAATATTGAAACACATCGTTACCACTACCGCTAACATTGTCAATCGGATACATTTGTTGTTCCCCTTGATGTAAGTGTTGGTTTTCTTGCAACTGTAGCAGCGGTTGTCGTTGTTGTTGCTGTACTTGTAGCGGCGGCTGCGCCAACCGCTGCAATTGTTGATGATACTGGTAGTTATAGTTATGATTGTCAAAAGGTGCCACTACAGAGCTAGTCACGTTATTATTGGATCCAAAACTCAAGTTGATCGGACCCTTTTGGCTCCCAAAGGAAAGGGGTGTGCTAGAAGCAGCACAACCTGTGAATTGTTGCACCAAATCTCGAAAGTTGTTGGCGTTGGCATTGAGGAGGGTGATGGGCGTCTTCTTTGAAACCCTAGACCTCCTTCTGATGGGTTTTGACACACTTCCTGATGGCGTGAGCTGGCCCCCACTAGGGCTGCTGGGGCTGATTTCTGTCACAGTAGGACTACTTGTTGTGACAATAGTGGAATCAGAAAACCCTCCACTAATGGGTGTTGTTTTCTGCCCATTATCCATGAGGGCTTGTTGGTAGTATTGCCCCCACTCGCTAGAACTTGGCATAGTTGTACCTTTGATGCCTGCAATTGAATTGCCTGTAAAATAACTTACAACAGAGAAACTGGTTGAATGTTTACTTACATAAGAGTGACTGGATGCCGATGAATCCTAAAGAGGATGAGTTCCGAAGAAGTACCGATCTTAAGATAATAGAGAAGCACCGCCAGAGTTTCAACGGTGCTTTTTAGTGGTGGGCGATTTATGTCACTCTATTGTGTTGTGAAAGGAATTATTAAGAAGCCTTACATCTCTATTGGATTTATAGGCACTTTTGGTCAATATTAAGACAAGTCTTTAGTTGACCTTTCAATTCATAGAGAGAAAGATGCTGATGGCCAAAGCAAGCAGTGCTTCCTGGAAATTACTTGTGTTATTATCAAATGAGGTGATCATAGCCACATCACTATCGGTCTCCAATCAATTGGTGGAGCGAATTTTGAGATGGTATACGCTTCTTTGGTCAGAAAATTGTTATAAAGAAGCTAACCACGGTTAGAAAAAACTTAATTAATTAAAGGGTATTCCTGCTTTATCAAATTAAGTTTCAGATTAGGAGATTTGCAACTTAGCAACTTTGCATGTGTGAGTTGATTTGATATGAGACATGCTAATTAATTTCTTTGACTTTACTTGAATATTTATTAGAGTTTAATTTCCTCGGTAAACTATGAGATTAGGGATTTTATATGGAAATTGATATTAGTACTCCAAAAATCTCATTCTACACTCCAAACTTTCTATATTAGGAAAGAAAAATACATTTGTAAGGAGTGTAGAATGAGATTTTTGGAGTATCAGTAACACTTCCCTTTCTATATTTTTAGTATATAAATTCACATCAAATAATATTTGCTGTTTATTACAAATAAACAACATAAATAAATATTAAATACATTTGTAAAAAGACATGATCTGGTTTACTAAGAATGTTAACGCTTGCAAGTCACCGTATAATATATATATATATATATATATATATATATATATTATATCAGTAATTTTCAATAAATATGAGACATGCTGATTAAAGTGTTGCCATTGCAATTAACCAATTAATATTGGGAAAGGGATTGTAACAACCCGTCCCGGAATTTAGGGAACGAAAAGGGTATTTTGGTAATTTCACTTTTATTGTAGGATATTTGTTTGAAATGTGACTTTGTGGCCTTAAATGGTGTGCCATGTCACCCCCGCTCTGATTTTGTCCCCGGCCCCATTTCCATTTTCTTTCTCTCACTCTTCCTCTCGCTGCACCCAACCCTCCCCGAGGGTAGCTTGCACACCCACACACATACCAACTGTCTCTCTCTGATTTCCCTCACCTATCTTGTCCCTCTCCCTCATCTGTGTGTGACAACTCCGGAACCTGGACGCCATGGGAACCAGTGCAAAGGTACAAAGGAAAAATTGGCGAGTCTTGACCACCTCTAATCATGGTAAGTTATTAGAACCTTTTTTATCGTGTTTAGGAGTGATTTTGAGATGTCTTTGAGAAGTTTTGTGGTTTTTGGATGAAGAACACATTGGGAAGACTTTCCCCAGTTTCCTGTGAGAACCCGTGGGTTTCAAAGCGTTTTACGGCCACCTCATGTCTTGAAATTGGTACGAATCTCTTCCTTATTCCTTGGGCTTCAATTTGGTATATTGCATGACTTGTTTTAGTTAGGTTGGGGGGTTGAATGGAGCTTGGAAAGCTCTGGTTTCCTCCTTTGCGAATCCGGCTTGAAAACCGGATCAACCCAACCCAGAGTTTCGAACCCAAGCCTAAACCATAACCAAATTTGGGCTCAAAACCTAACCCAAGGCCTTCGGCCCACTAAGCCCAACCCAAGCCTTTAGGCCATGTAAGCCTGGCCCGAACGCAAATGGCCTTAGCCCAGGAACGAACCCCAACCCAGAACTGAATTGGCCCAAAACCCAGAACCGAACTGGCCCAAACACAGAACCCAATTGGTGAGTGGGCCTGGGGGTAGGCGCACATGGGTGTCTGCCTTGGCCGGCACTTGGAGCACACGCGCTTCCACCAAAGGTATTGTGCTCTGCCGCTGTCCACGGCGACGCCGACGACCCAAAATGGCTCGTAGTGGCGTGTGACCGTCAAGGCCGCCATCCCGCGATGGCACGTGGTGGTACCCGAGGTCCCCCTTATGTTTTTGGATGTCCTGAATTCGTTTATGACATTTGTTTCTCAAAATTCAATCGTTATGATTGAGTTTTATTAATTGGAACCGTTATGTGTTTAGGTGTAATTGTTTGTGGAATTTTCGTCCTCTTTTGTTTGCACGGCTCTTTGCCAATGGTGTAAGGTGAGTTGACACCTTCCAAAATGCATATTTTACTATAAGAAATGCGTACATGAAAAACATGATTTTATGACTACCTCGGCCCAAAACCCAGAACCGGACTAGCCCAAACACAGAACCCAGTCCACACGTGGGTGCCTGCCTTGGCTAGCGCGTGAAGCACATGCGCCTCTACTAGAGGTACTGTGCTCCGCTGCCGTCGCCGCCAGCGACTTTTCCAGTAACCCAAAATGGCACATAGCTGTCAAGGCCACCACCCCGTGGCGGCACGTAGGGGTACCCTAGGTCCACCGTATGTTTTTCAACGTACTGAATCCGTTTATGACGTTCGTTTCTGAAAATCGATCGTTATGATAAGGTTTTATTAATTGGTACTGTCATGTGTTTAGGTGCAATTGCTTATGGTGCTTCCGTCCTCTCTTGTTTGCACGGCTCTTCACCAACAGTGTAAGGTGAGTGAACCCCTTCCAAAATGCATATTTTACTATTAGAAATGCATACATGAAAAGCATGATTTTATGACTACGTTTTATGCAACGTTTATGAGTGAATTGGTTACCATGCTTTATCAATATCATGCTTTATCGACTTTGCGTCCCTTGTGGTATATATGATTGATGACTATATACATACTTGTGAACGTGGTTTTACAATATGGCGTTTTAGCTACTGAACTCTTATTAAGATAGTTATACACACACACACACACATACATATATTAAAAATATTATGTTAATGTTCTTATGTACTTACTTGGTGGTTATTCAAATGATCTGGCTACGAGCGAATGGTCCTGCCTACAGGCGAATGATACATTTATATTGGCTTTGGCTGTGGGTTGTGCCTACGGGCGGAAAATACTTATATTGGCTTCAGCCGGGGGTTATAATGCCTACAGGCGGAATATACTTATATTGGCTTCGGCCAGGGGTTGTAGTGTTTACGGACGGAAGATATTTATATGGCTTCGGTTAAGCATAGGTTGTTGGCTTCGGCCGGGAGATACTTATATATGGCTACGACCGGGTGTGGGTTGGTGACTTCGGCCGATTATGATAACATTGTTAAGCACTATATATGATATATGTTTTATGAAGTTTTATGGCATGCTAGGGTTTTCGGAAAACCTATTACATATTATGCTATACAAGTTTTCTAAACATGGGGGTTAGTATGTTAAAGATTAACTGTTTTATTACTACGTATATATCAACTTGGTATATTCATGTTTTGATTTGCGCCCCCTCAGGACTTAGAATCGAGGCGTACAATCCCAGCATCAAGGCACTCCCGCATCAGCATCTTCGAGTCCTCTCGGTGTAGGACCCATCCTTTTGTTCATTCAATTTTATATTATTCTTTTTTAGTGTCTCGGTTTAGTTGTATACTCTGAACACGTTCCATAAATGCACATTCATTATAATTAAATTTACAAGTTTTATTTATGTCGGTTAATTGTTTCTAGTTCTCATGCATCCTAATATGGCTTCGTCACCTTCGGGTGTCAGCTAGCATGTGCCTACCCTGGTGTTTGGAGAATATTAGGGTCAAGCGTGTCAATTTTGGATCCTTTCCAGATCCCTTCCACCTAATCTTCTTCATCAAATCATCCGGGCCCTTGAAATTTGATCCAACAGCTAAAAATATAGGCCCACTTTAAAAGTTATAATAATTTTAGATGTTGAATCAAATTTCAATGGTCCGAATTGTTTGATGAGAATGATTAGGTAGAAGAGATTCGGAAAGGATCCCTATCCTTTATTTGAACTCAGCAACCTACTACTCGGTCAATTGTCATTATCAAAGTTGATGTCAGATATGATCTGTTAGCAAATGACATAGATTATGTTATTTGCAGCGATCTTTAATCCTTTTGTTTATAGTTAATAAATCAACACTAACTTTTAACGACAAAGTCTTACTCTTAGTACTGTTTCATGTCTGAAAAGGCTTGGAAGTTGATGCTATCCAAGTCTGAACGCAATTCTGATTTTTCTTACTTGCCGATGAAGTTTTTGAAGCTTTCCACAACAGCAGAAATGATTTAGATAGCTTCTGGAATTCAATTAATATATCACTGATATAAGACATTACGGTTTTTTATTTACTTTTTTCTTTGGATATGTAGAAAATTTGTCATCCAGAGATTCATAAACTAAGTTACTTCGGGGAAATTATATATTATCTGGAAAACTAGTGGACCCCATCCAGTAGGATTGGCTTGTAGGGCAAATTTTCTTACATTTATGTTTGACCAATATATACAATCCAGATCCTTTGAACATGTCGTATGTCTTTTAGTTTGTTGAAAAGAAATACATCATGTCACCTTCCCATGGATGTTGAAGATAGCCATTTTTTGTAATATGGACTGCGATATGATGTTCCAGTGACCATTTGTTCAGACTTTTTTTTAATTGATTTTCACACTATTTCAGCCTTTTGCACAATTTTTTTGTGCCTCACATATTTTTTTATTTTATTTTTATCGTTAAATTAAATAAATCAAACGAAAATAACGTACGAACTTAAACAGTGGTGTGTGAGAAGAAAAAAAAAAGTGTAGTTATAATTTCTTTTAGTTTGGTACTGGAGGTGATTCACTTAGACTAAACTAAGACAACTAGCTACCAACTATTTTTGGTCATTGGCATAGTGGATAAAAACTCACAGTTAATGAAAAAACATACATTCAAGGTTACATAAACTCTTCGTTTGGAAAAGAATTACCCATGTGCGTTCTAAATCAGATATTTTACAATTGTTTAGGTTGAGAAAGTTGAAAAAGATTTTATTTTTATTATTATTTGTTGTATATATATGTATATGTTGCTAATTACGAAAGGTAGATGTGCGAATCCTCCGTTGTTTTAAAATGTTTCTTTTTGCTTAATCTTTCACTTATTTGATGTTCCTAATTGGATGTGTGTGAACGA